AGGTCTCCTTGTTGATCCCCCTAAGGAATTAAAAACAATAGGTCTTAAAGCCACAATATTTCAGGCGTCTCTACGACAAAAACCCCTAAATTGGTAAAGGGTGGTGTTTCTACCTTAGCATACTATTTGCAGGGAGAAAATAATATATATATATATCTAAATGAGATGTTTAAACATTGGGAAAGACATTGAAAATAAATACAGGAAGCTGAGGAAAGAAGAGCTTAGTGATACAGTGAAGAATGCAATGCTCTGCATTTATTCATCCATCAGAATTAAATCACATCAGATAGCATAAAATGCAACTGCTCTAACACCCCTCATTTTTTTCCAAAAAACAGAAAGATTTCTGATAAACGAGACTTGCCAGCAAGAAATCTCACAACGTGTCCCAGGCACAGTAATACAGAAAGCGTGATATAGGGGACTGACTCATCCCAGAACCGATCCTATTTACATATCTCTGGCTGAACGTCTCGCAGTGATGCTCTTGCACGCGGCACTTAAACGCTTGCCGTGGGCATTGGCACTTCATTTGGCAACAAAAATGCCCCGTGAAGGAAAAGGTACGGAGTTTACTGGCAAAATACTTTAACGAGAATAAAAACACCTGAGGGTTAAATATTTGTGAAGGTACTTCCTGCGTTAACGAGTTCGGTTGTAAGGAACACAGCCTTCCCTTGAGACGCCCTGCCCCTAGTAAAAATCGCAGCCGTGCTAGAGATGATCCATCAGCAGCTACAGTACCATTGCACCTGAGAACCTGCCTTAGGCTGCATCTGCTCGTGCCTCTCAACCTGGACATCATCATCAGATACAGGAGGCTATCACACAGGATAATATCACATGTATGGAGCACTAAGGATGTAAGATTTTCTTTTCGCTTTGAACAAAGCAGTTTAAATTCAAATATGCTAATATATCACCAGACCATTTCTCAATGCACACACTTGTCACAATAAATAAATCAAATATAAACAGTATCACAATTTATAAATGTGTAAAATTATGCTGAATGAATTAGCTGTCTCTGTTCACAGTTTATAGGCACTGCTGGTTGGGAGGCGTGGCTGAAAGAATACTTGGTAGCTAGAGTACCCGTAGCAAACTTGGATGGCACCTTTCAACTAACAGCATTGCCATCAATTTTACCTACAGAGGTGCTGACATTTCAGTGTCTATTTTTGTATTTCCTAAAGCTACATGTAAAATGGAAAAACGCAAATTCAAAGAGCTACCTAAGGAGCACAAAGCTGCTTTGATCTGCCCACTGTTCCAATGATGGGTTGGAGGATACGTACATTACTCAGACAAAAAATATCCTGTCGCGCTCTGGATTGTCTGCAGTTGATGGTTTGTGGGCACAAAACCCATTTCTCATTTCCTTAGAATCACAAATTCCTTAAGCTCTTAACATCTTTCCTTACCTGAAAGGAGTCAGGATGTTGCGAACATCCTCCAGCAGCCACCACAAAAAAGCAAATCGTATTTTCCCTCCCCAAAAGGCAGAAATAGTCCTTTACCTGGCTTGTGCCCCTTGACGGATCCAAGCAAGAGCCACATCAAAAGGCACTTGAGCTCCATGGGACTTGTTCACATCTTTTCTCCGCAACGCTGAGGATGGTGAAGTTTCTCAGAAGCGATGGGCTGGTGCCAACCAAGCCAAGGAGCAGTCTACTGCCTGGTTAGACCGATGGGGAGCATCACCCTGCCTGCACAGCAAGGACTTTGCTCTTTGGTCAGCAAATCGTCGTTTGGCTGGCTGGCTCCGCAAGACAGAATAAAAGCTGCTCTCTGTTCAGGTATTAGTAGCTTTTATCCAGGAAATCAAACTTAATGCTTAGTGCGGCGGAGCGTGCCGTCGTGTGTAGGAAGTGGTTTGACACATCAGAGCTACTGACTCCAGAGCTGTTCCACTACAGCTGAGGTCAGTAGAAGGGGGCAAGGTTTTAATGGGTTCGTGCAGCCACTCAACCCCAAATCTGTGGCTGGACAGGCATTTGAGAGGGACCATCGCTGTAGAACAGTTATCCAGTATACAACAGTGGACTTCAGACACCATCTGGGGGCTGTACCTACAAAGAAAAGGTCCCATCGGGTATTGTTTTGGATTTTTGGATGTCTTCATCTGATGATGATAAAGCCACATTCCATTTGTTTTTTGATGTATGCATGTTTGCAGTTTCTCTGAGTGACAGCTGAGCTTCTGAAGGATGGACAGTTTGATTAAAAAATCTGTGAGGATGTGGCAGGCAGGTTTGGAAAGGGTTTCTCTTGCTCCTACATTGTCTGGGTTTGCTGTGCTTCAGTGAAATTGCTTCTTCCAAATGTCAGCGGAAAACTGGAAATTATCAAGGAACTATCACAATTTATGTAGTTTTTCGACAGCCATTTCCACAGACATTATTATCTGTTAGTACTTAGAGAATTAGTTGGGACAGACTATGGAAAACAGATTTAAACTATCTGTGGTACTCCATCATGATTATTACATGCTAGACATTTACATCTCCTTTATAAATCCTTAATGAATGCAATCTTCCTAACAAGCATGCTGAGAAATAGATGTGATACATTTTTAAATGCCACTACGGCTGCATCCATCAGTCGTAGCCACAGACGCAGAGGATGCTGTGTTAGTATCTCTGTCCCTCACTATCAGACACTCTCCTGTCCTCGCAGCCATAAAGGTGATGGTCCTGTGAAAGGCAGCTGACACAAGGGAGCTTCTTTTGAATGAGACACAAAACAAACCTTTTCGGAGGGCGAATGATGCCATATCTATGGGAGGTTGCACAAAGGTGCACCTTCTCCCCCAGCATGTGACAAGGTGCAAACAAGACTTTAGGCAGTGCTCATGAGAGCAGCAGACAGAAGACACGCTACAGCCCCTGCTCACTCTCTCCTGATAAATCTCCCTTTGCCCTTTTCATGAAAGCTTTTGTGCAGCTTCACTGATGCAGATGACAAGTCCTCTCGGAGGGTCTGTTGGCAACGAGGCTTTGGTCAGGAGATTACTGCCCAAACCCAAATGCAACAGGGCATAGAGAACAAGTAAGACTTCTGGAGCAACTGCTGTGGGTAAAATGCTTTGCTCACCCCAGGGCTGCTCCACAGATATTTATCACCTTTGGTTTAGTACCAAATCATCTTCCATATTTAATAGCATAATAGGAAACACTCATGCCAAAGCCAACTGAAGGACTTGGAGAGATTTGCTCTTGAAACATATGTCTGCAAGTCTTAGACCCCAATTCTTCACCTTTTTCCAAGACACTTGGAGATATGCAACTGTATATGCAGAACTGCAGCCATCTGGGTTGGTAAGATGTATTTGTTACATCGCCCAGAAAGAAATCCCAGACTTTTTATCACAATTTATCCTTCCCCTACTAAATGTGGGGTCTGTTCTTTGGAGGTGCAGGGATTTACTCCCCAACATCTCCTTCAATTTCTTGCCTGGTCAAACTATTTCATTTCATAGCTATTTCCATGATGGCGACAGAGATGGGGGACCCTTTCTGCAATCCTTCAGCTCTATCTGCCTCTCTCAGCTATTCAAAATCCTGCTCGTCAATTAATGATTGCAAAGTGTGACCAGAGGGCAGCAGTTTGGGCTGCAGACACAGATTCTCGACAAGATGAATTTTTCCTTTTGCTGAGAAAAGGTCTTTTTTTGACAGGTAAGACGAGATGCTCTCCCTCTTTCACTCAGCCATTTGCTTTCAAGCAGCAACTCTCAGCGTAGGTGGATAATAGCCACTAAGATTTTATTAGAAATGGTGAGATTTTATCCTAGCAAGAACATGCAATATAGTCAGTTATTGTACTGGAAGGAACGGTGACCCCAGGTGGCTAATTGCTACAAGCACACTTTGCATGAGAAAGACCCGTAACTCGGCATTTAGACTTTTTAAAGGTCAGAAAAAACCGGTTACCGCTTGTGAGAGCAATTAGTTAGGTCAGCTTTGTGAAATAGGTCAGCTTGCTGAACGATTCCAGGAAAAAACAGTACTGCTTCTGCGAGCAACGGACTCAAAGCAGAGCAAGGCACAGAAGGGGAGGTTGAGAAGGGAGGGAGCCAGCAAAGGGGAAAGTTATCTAGGCACAGAAAAAACAGGGGTTTATGGGAAAAAAAAAAAAAAAAAAAGCCTAATTAGCATTAGAATTTAGATGATTGACATCGGATGTTAGCAACAGAGGTGTGTGGCAATTACAGGGGGGAAGCGCTGTGAAAACTCAGTGGAAATCTGGAAAGTGATGGAGGGAAATAGCAGCATCCTGAGCATCTAAGAAGGTGTAGGGGCAAAAGAAGGTGCTGGTGTCTCTGTTGCTTGTTGACTTTCTTCCGCTGATCACCAGAGTTATGCTGCTCAGAGAACTCCTCTCTTTCAGCAGAGAGCTGGGAGGAAAAGAACCTGTCACATGGTGCAGGTCACCACAGACAAGATTATGAAGATTATTTTTGTGCAATGCCACAAGACCAAGAAAGATGCAGAAATGGAGTTGCCAGGAAGTAAAACACAAACACGGCTTCAGCTTTCTTTAGGATTAGGTGTAACAAGGGGCTTTTGAAACCCTGCAAGTGCTTTTAAAACTCTTAGTGCACAAATTTATTTGGTCTGGAGGTCAGAGCAGCGGAGGCTGTAAGCAGATTTTACAGTGCATCTGGTGCAGTTTTATCTGATGGAAAAAAGCAGAATCATTCAGAAGCTGGGGAGAAAACTGAAGTTCATAGAGGTCTGTATCAAGATCTCCTGAGACTTAGGAGATTTGGCCCATCTTGACATTACCATCTCAAATAAAGCCAAGTGGTATTAAATTTTCAGTTGGGCATTGCTTATTTTATAAATCCAATGACATTGCAAACAAAAACAAGCCAGCTTTAAGAAAGGACAGCACTATGATCTTATTGCAATACCTCCCAGTTCAAAGCAGTGGTTAATATCCACATAGCTCACTAAAATAAGCAAGCTTCGTGTTTCCTTTCTTTAATACAATTTTTCTACTGTGAATCACTCTTACATAAGCCCTCTATTCAAGGGAATAACACTTCGTATGGACCTTGCCAGGAGGGTGTGAAGGTGGCTCTAATAGCTAACTAAACTCTGTTAATCAGTATATTGCTTATATTGTTAATCAGTATATTGCTTATATGTCCTTGAAATTATGGTAACGGTGGCAGTAAACTCACATTATTTATTTTTTTACTGGGGAGGAAATGTATTGGGAATATTACCTTAAGCATGGGATACAGTGCTACTCCCCAATGAGCAGCTGAATCTCGAATAGCTAGGTTTTGCACTTAAATAGGCCTCTCTTGGCTTTCTTCACAGAGTACTTGGAGGACTACACTTAGTATTTTCAAGAAAAGTCATTAAAGATGCCATGCACAAGGGCCCTTCCTGCCCTCCATGGCAGCATCCCACTCTGCTGCAAAGCAGAGGTATGGGGAAGCCCTAGTTATACCACATGCTAGAAATGATCATCAGACGATTTTCACCCAACCTAATTATTTATAATGGCCAAATTGCTTTTTAACTGCTTTTTATTTCCCGTCAAAGTGAGACAAAGCTGACACGAGGCGCACAAATTTTTGCATCTTAAATGGAGCACACATGCAAGGTCAACAAGGATTTAGGTTCGAGTCAAAAGAGAGATGTCTGGTCAACATAGTTGTCAAAGTTCCCCCTTGAGTCAATGGAGAGAGTCAACAAGTGTATCTAGAGAGTGATTCACCTCCTCTTCTGGACATCTATATCTACCAGATGAATCACCCATCTGAACTTCTCTCCCTCCCTCCCATCTGCGGACAACCGTTAAACCAAACATGGGTCTTTAGGCAGCAACAGCTGGATGAGACAAATCCACCCTGAAAATCTGTACCGAATTTGAAAATATAATTTAAATTGCTTATTTAGTGACTGAGAACAGTCTTCCCTGTCAAACATCCTGGACATGGTTTATTATACTCTTATTAACTACTCCTTTCACTGATGCCAAGTTCTGTGATAAGTATGTGAGGACCATAAAACTGAAAGGGACCTTGCAGGTCGAGTATTCAGTGTTGGGCTAAATCCACCAAACAAATCGCTTTCTTTATCAACTGATGATGCTCTCTCTCAAAAGTTGGAGGGAATGTGTGTATTGAAAGGTACCTGGTATGTTCCTACTCCTCAGCAGCTACCAGGAGGGTTTCATCCTCCAGTTCAAAGTGGAGAGCAAGAATCCACAGCTCTTCTTCCTCTGTGTTTATCATAGTTCTCACCATAGCTTTTTCCATTAATACTTGTTCTACTATGGCTCACTGCTATCAGATTAAGGATATGGGCCTTTAGCTCACATCCACAGAGATACAGGAAATCACCTGGTTTTCTGAAACACAAAATGCTTCAAATCAAACTCTGTTGGACAAACAGCTCTGAGCTGTGTTTGCAAGAACAGACTAGTATAAAGACCCCAGCACAATGCAAGGTCCTTAAAGATCTTTCTGCGTGAAAGAAAAAAGCGCAAAACCCAGCCCCCTCACAGGTCAGTGAGTGCAAGCCCCAAAACCTAAAGGTTTATACAAATTAGTACAACAA